GCGCAGGATCTTTCCCTCTTCGTGTTCAAGAGATGCCTTTAATGACAGCAGGGGGTGACATTAGCAGGGAATGGGAGTTTACAGTATTCTAGAAATAGGAATTAATTCTTGCTCTTGTGCTGCCATAACACATATTTATTCTGTTGTTCTGGAAATTTCTATAATGAGTTGTTGTTGGTTTTATATATTTTTGTCTCCCCAGCTAGATAATGCCCTTGATGGCAGGGGGCAGGGACCTTAACTTATTCATCTTAGTTTTTTTTCAGTGTCTAGCACAGTTCCTGACATACAGGTGTGTTATTTGCTTGCGTTATCGATTCTCCATCCTCATGCAGAGTACACAGAGTCAGAATTACTTTTTTTTCCTCTTAATTCAAGAATTTCATCAATTCTTGCATACAATGGACTCTAATTCCTCTTGTAATTGTTTTAAAATGTACAATAAATTGTCTACCTCTGCCTCCTCTAAAGCGGCCTGAAGTTCAGACTTCTCTTGTTCCACTTGTTTCTTTATCTTCTCCAGTTCATGGATACGTTTCCCTCCTTCTGCAATCTGCTCCGTGAGGTCAGAAATCTCCTCTATTGGTGAATAAAAATATAAAAGTTGATTCAGTGAGGGAGAACATTTTTTCAAATCTTTTGTTAAAGAAAAGGTGAAATGTACTCACGTTGTAAATTCTTATTTTCCCGCTTCAAGGTTTCAAGTTGGTCTAAAGATTCTTCATAAGCATTCTTAATCTTGAACAACTCTGTGCTAAGGGAGCGGGACTCCTTTTGGGAAGCTTCAAGTTCAGCATGAGTTTCTTCATACTTCTGTTTCCATTCTGCCAGGATCTGAGGGGCAAAGAATGGTTCAGAAATTTAATGGATAAAGTTGATGGGATGGAGGCACCATGTATTCTGGCACTTGTCAGAGTTGAGGTGATCTGGGACTGTCAAATTATTATGAGAACAGTAGAAACCATAGGCACTGTTCCCCTCCACTGCCTCCTGTGGAGTAGGAGCTACTGAGAACAGCCCTCATGTGGTCCGAATAATGTACACTGAAAGTAACAGACTGGCTTCCATCCTGTGTTGAATACTGAACCAGAGGCTAATATATGAGTTACCTTGTCGAAGTTCCTCTGCTTCTTGTCCAGGGCAGCGCAGGCTGCGTTGGTTCTCTCCACATCAATCATGAGGTCCTCCACCTCATTCTGGAGCCGCTGCTTCGTCTTCTCAAGGGAAGCGCATTTGGCGTTCACAGCTTCTACATGCTCCTCGGCATCCTGTAGACGCTGAGCCAGCTTCTTTCTAAAAAGTGAAATAAGGACAAGAGAAGTGAATGGCCATTAGTAGACTTGGATGTTTCAAAGTAGGTACAAAAGAGTGATTTCCACAGCCAGATGCCCAATACTTTGGTTTTCCAGCTTGTTTTGTAAGCCCAGTTCTGTGTTAACTCATTCTTACTCTCCTATGAACCAAATACTGAAAACAGTCTAAATTTCAACACTGCCGTACTTCATACTCTTGCTTTAAGGCTGTCTGTGATCAGCCCAAGCAACATTTTCCCCATCAAGGTGGCTGGTTTAATTCTCCTCTATAGAATAATACTATCTGCCTTGAATTACTGTTATTTATGTCTTATCTCCACTGAATTTTCATCTCCAGAGGGTAGAGTGTGTATGTTGCTCATCTTTGTTTTCTTGTAGGCTGTCACACATATTAAATGCTCAAATGTTGGGTGAATTGAATTTAAATGAATGAATTTGACCTCAAATCAAATATACTTGATTTTGGCTAATTGTGTCCCTTATTTTTCTTCGCTTTTCAGTAATCATTTAATAAAAATAAACTTTTTCAAATCAATATCAATTTTGTTTTGTGAGCTCCACTCAGATGCTCTTCTAAGGCATCCAGCCACCATGATTCCAACCTCATAGTTGTACATGGGTCACAGGATAAACAACTAGATCTCTCCTGAAACTTCTGTTGAATGAGTAGGTTTCTTCTTGTCCAGATTCTCTGTCTTTACAGTTCAATCTTGAACTGTTTGATTGCACTGAATACTTGGTCCCTTATGAAATGATATGTTTCCTTTCTTATTGCAGAGCTCATTTTTTTTTTTTAAGTCTTTAACAATATATATCTTTGTTTCCTTACCAATAGCCATGTTTTTACATCTCAGAGGGAGGAGCTATGTTCTGAGGCCCAATTATTTTTTTCCCTTACACGCCTAACACCTTGAACTGATTTTCCCATTAGTGGCTGAGAGGAAGGAAGGGCACAGGGAGTATAGTTAACACTTACTCTGTGTACACCTTTGTGGATAGAAAGATGTCAAAAGTTCCCCTTTTTAAAAGCTGTCCTCCAGTTTCCTCTTGCCTTGTTTGCTTTCTTTTTTCTGCCTTCTAGCTTAATTTCTTTTCCTGCCTTCCTAGAATGTTTGTCTTGCTTTGATTTATGATCATGCATGTTTTTTCCTTGTTTTTTCAAATTTGTTTTGGTAGCAATAGACATTTCCCCATACAGTGCTTATGGCAGATATGCTTTGTTAACAGAGATATTTTCATTTCTGCTAAGTCTAGGACATACTTGGCTTCCTCTAGCTCCTCTGTGCGCTGGATGGCATCTGTCTCGTATTTGGTCCTCCACTGGGCCACCTCACTGTTGGCCTTGGACATTGCCCTTTGCAGCTCGGCCTTGCCCTCCTGCTCCTCCTCATACTGTTCCCGCAGCAGGTCGCAGTCGTGGCGGGCTGATTGCAGGGCATGTGCCAGAGCACTCTTGGCCTGAGAACATAGAGATCAGAGACCTAATTTGATATCTTTAAAGTGACATTTAGTCCCTAGGCTCCTATAAGCCATCAGAAGACAATCTATAGAAGTAAAAGAAATAAAACCTGAAAAATAAGGGTAGTGACAAGTAGGGCTTACTTTTATCTCTTCTTCAAGCTGCCTTTTCAGTTCCTCGATCTGTTGTGTGAATGCTTGTTTGCCTCTTGAGAGCTGAGAAACTAATGAGTCCTTTTCATCTAGCTGGCGTGAATATTCACCTGGTAAGACCAAGACAGAGAGAACTCAACCTCACTTTGGAAATCAGCTCTGGATTAAAAACTGGAGCAGGGAAAGGGACCTGAGTTTGAAATACATTGGAGAGCATAGATTACAGCAAGTCACCAAGCTCCACTTCAGTTCTGATGAGCAAATCTATGTAAAAATGAGAAGTATGGAAAGCTTGGAGGCTGATTACATACTTAGGAGCAACGCAAGATATTTTGAAAGATATATAAGATTATATATCACAGGGGAGCCTGGGTGGCTCAGTTGGTTAAGAGGCTGTCTTTGCCTCGGGTCATGATTCCAGGGTCCTGGGATCCAGCTGTTCATCAGGCTCTCTGCTCAGCAGGGAGCCTGCTTCTCTCTCTCCCTCTATCCAGCACTCTGCCTACTTATGCTCTCTCTGTCTGTCAAATAAATAAATCTTTAAAAGAAGATTATTTATCACAGTAGAAATTGGTCAAGAAGCATGTAACAAGAGATGTTAATGTTTAATAAGAATCACAACTTTCTTTTTTTTCCATGCCACTAAGTTAAGGAACTTAGAAAAGAGTATACAAGGAGGATTTTGATACTTTGAGAATATAGACTTTTTAAAAAATATTTTATATATTTACTTGACACAGAGAGAGAGAGACAGCAAGGGAGGGAACACAAACGGGGGGAGAGGAAGAGGGAGAAGCAGGCTCTCTGCAGAGCAGGGGGCTTGACATGGGGCTCAATCCCAGGACCCTGGGACCATGACCGAAGCCTAAGGAAGATGCTTTAATGACTGAACCACCCAGGTGCCCTGAGAATACAGTTGTTTTTTTTTTTTTTCATGAAGTCTACTAACTACCTGTATAACAATAATAAAAGCCTGACTTTGAACTTTGTCCTAGAAAGAATAATATTTGAATGCATGTGAAAGAGTAAAGTGGTTCTTCAACACTTTGACCTGCCTATCACTTTAGTAGTCCAGATGACCCATAAAATAATTTCCATCTTATTACCTCTCACTTGGGGAGGTGGAAATTTGGTAAAAGTTGGATGGTTTGATTAGGGGACAGAGGAAATGCAAAGACTCCAATTTGGATAGTCAAAACTTTACAAACATCACTTAAGGCTCTTGGGCTGGGTTGTAGTACTGAATTTCTCTGCATGACTGTGCGAGCTAGCAGCATTTGGCCAGACTTCAGGAAGAAGAGAGGAGTAAGCATTCCTGGACAGTCACTTCATCACTGCCATCGCCTGTCATCTTTAATATGTGGATTATATTACATAGACTGTTGAGGGTAATAAAGTAATAAATAACTTGTGTAAGCATTTTGAAAATGCAAATAAATACTGTGAAGCTACACTTTTAATTTGATAACTTGATGAAAGTCAAATGTGCTTTAAAATGTGTAGAAACAGAAGAGCCTGGATCTCTTTAATGAAAGTTACGACCATAACAAAAAGAAAGCAATCTATGACAGTGGTCAGTGGTTTGTTCATAGTGGTGGTGACAGGTGTCTCCCAGGAGGGTAATATGTGATCTCTATAAGTCAGTGCAGAGTTTTCCAGCGAATTAAGCATCCAAAGGAAATTTGTCATTCAAGGCCAACACTGATAAATGGCCCACCTGATTCCGTCTGCAGACGCGCTCTCTGAGCCGTCAGGTCGTTGATCAGCCGCTGCTGCTCCTCTTCCTTGGTCTTAAGTTCACTCACCTGGTCTTCTAGAGTGCGACACATCTTTTCAAGATTCCCCTGCATTCAGAAAGTGGTAGGAAGTTTCTCAAGCAAGCATTTGGACCACAGGAATTTATCATAATCTGAGCACTCCACAGGGGCTGTGGGCCCTGTGATAATACACTATCTTTACAAACACACACTACAGGGGCCTAAGATTATGAAGGAAAGAGTAACAAGTGACATAGTCCAAACATGCCACCAGTGAACTGCTTTGTGAATTCAAGTCTGTACTCAACTGGTTTTGTCTCTGATGGGAGAATGATGATACTTGATTTAATTCTGGGCAGTTTTTTTGAGGAGCAATTTATTTATTTGTGCTTAAGCGGAAAAACAGAAACCTTATCAAGGTGAGGTGTTTTTAAAATCCCAGAATGTATAGTCCAATGGTATTTTTTTATTTGGAAGAGCTTAACTTTCCACCCTACTGTTCTTTGGGTGTGGCTGTTCTCACAATAAAGATCGAACGGTTGGCCTATCACACCCAAGTGCCCTTGCTCCTGCCCGTCTCCTGCTTGCACTGTCTGTAGTCTCCTGCCAGTTACTAAGGATTCCTGAGCCTCTCACTCACACCTGTCTCACAGAAATCTCTTTAAGACTTAAACCATGATTGCACCTTGGCTTTGGAGACTGTCTCCATGTTACTGGCGAGGTCATCGAT